AAATCGCGCGCGTCCACCGTAATGGCGGTCGATTTAATTTAAAGTGTGTCTTACCTGCCAAAGTTTCGGCCAACGATGCAGTGCCACGTGGGGCCGTACTTCGAGTCGAACTTCTTCTTGATCGCGGCAGCAATGTCCTTCTCGATTGTCTGACTTTGCATGGCATCGCTTGCGATTTCCACGGCGTCCTGTTGCATCTCGTCCGACATGTCGGCGTTCTTGACCACCGCCTTCTGACCTTGGCCGCCATAGCTGCCGGTGTTACTCTGGTAGCTCATGTTGGTGCTTGTGGAATGCGACTGCTGACTTACCGGCGAGTTTGCTTATATCGTCAGTCAGGGTGAGCAAACGTGTGATGCCGATTGGCTGCTCATGTTACCATGGTGCTACCTCAACCGATTTACTGGCACACACTCTGCCAATCATTACAAGGCAATCTGCTTGTGCTAATGGATTTTAAAATTTCGATTGCAGCCAGCTAAAACTGGTTTCAATTCGCATTTCCAAAATACAAAATGCATCACATAATCCATTAAAAGATGTTGAGAAGTGCAACCTCATTTAATTCATCAATGGACTGCCTAACTTAGGTTGTAGTTCATCGAGCATACACAAATTTAACACACGATTATCACTGTGTCGGTTGACAGATTGCAAGAGGTTTGCGTGCTTATGATGCTTTTCTATAGGCACAACCGATAAACTGAGCATTTTAGTAAGAAACACCTGGCTAGCCAATTAGCAACAGCCTGGGCTACACAGCATGAGTTGTAATCACGCCGAACTCATTCCCATTGACATATTGGCTGATATCAGAAAATGCCAGTGCAGAGGTGAATCATGCTTGCTTTAGTGATGCCAAGGTACCAAGGATCGATTCTTGAAGTATCAGCTATTGATAACCACCTCTTGAGTACTAGAAACTCGTCAAGGAGTGAATTCGAGATGAATTCTGATGGATTTAAACTAATCGATATGAAGCTGGGACGGCAGAGTGAGACCAAACAGACGGTAGACGTGATAGAAATTGCTGAATTTCTGTCATGCTAGACAACGCGGATTGACAGGTAGAGGACTGTTCCAACGACAAGGTGCACGCGATCTCGTGCAATGTCGCACCTCACACACACGAGTGTGAACAGACATGACATTGGCAGATGTGCTAGATCTCACCTCGTCTGTTGAAGGCGGCTGCATCCAAGGGAGGCGGCGTGCTGTCGAAACGAACCAGATTCTGAGTCGGCGCCAGATTTTAAGGTGCCAAAACTGAGAATGCTTAACTACGACAAACACGATTTACTGTTGTACTAATACCACGAATTTGGGAAAACTGAGGACACATATATCAGAATTAGGGAACATGTTAACTTGGGACCAAGTGATTGTCAGAGAGAACTGTCATATTGACAGATTTTGCGTCTGTTCACTTAACTGAACCATCTGCAAAGACCAAATTAGACGAAATTTGCAGTTAGATCTCAACAGCAACGAAAAGGC